CTGTAGAAGAGAATGGAAGCCATTTTTCATACAGCTGCACAGTCACAGGCTAACATTGTAGCAACACCAAGCCAAGTCTCTTATGACATGCTTTGAGTTTTGTTGTCCAAAGTTAGAAAGCATGGTGATGAAGTTGGGAGTATGAAAATAAAATAAACACATCCTGGAGGCGGGGCACGTGTGATGGGTGACGTCACATGCCTGCTGGGGCCTGCTGTTATTGTCTACCATTCACAATGGTAACAGCTACCACTTTTAGAAGAAAACAAAATCTGGTAAATTCTGTGTCTCATCCAAACATGATATATAAAAATATTCCTTCTAGTGAGCCTTTAGCTGTATAACCCTTCATGTATTTTGAGGACTTTTGCTTTAAGATAATAAAGAGGCACTTTTCGAAAATTGAGATGAATCTAAAAATCTTAATTTCTTCAAGACAGGGTGACTGGTTTTACATCACAGCATGCTGTATTCCACTTCCTTTTTCAGGATGATGCATGAGTACACTTGGGCTTTAACAATGATATTAGCAAATCTTTTTCAATAAACTAAGGAAGTCTCAAGTGCCAATGCATGTACATTTTCCCTGATAATTTAAACTGCTACTTCTGGAGTTTCAAGACTCCCAAAATAAATAACCTAAGCCTTTTAAATGACAGTTGCCAGGCTGCAGAAACGAATAAATGTCTTGTTGGTTTATAAAGCTGCAGTGCACTCAGACATTCATGAAGTTATATCATCTACAATATCAAACTGTGCCAGGGATTACCACTGTATTCCCAATTTCTCACAACCAGCATATAAGTAATTTAGGATACCTCAACCAGCCAGAAGCTTCTTTTTAATATCATTTTTAAGCTGACTGACTGTATTTGTTCCACACTTACATTTAAAGCCCTATTAACCCCTTCGTGACGGGAGACGTACACTGTACGTCCAGCCACAAAGGGACCAAATGACTCGTCACGTACACTGTACGTGAGGAGTTATTTGCTGCACTAGAAGGCTGCTAACCGCTGAGAATCAGCGGTTACCTTTCAGTAATAGATGTCTAACTATCTAGAGATCCATTACTGAAAGGGTTAACCTTTTTCAGACACCCGATACCTTAATATCGGGTGTCTGAGAGTCACAGCAAAGCAGACACACATGTCGGCTTTTGCCGGCATTCTGACAGCTCGTATAGATCGAGAGATATCTCTCTCAAGCTATACTGGCTTTTTTTTTTTTTATCTTTTGACTTTCAAGAATAGATACAAAATGTTATGTATTAGACACATAATGTATCTATTCTTGAAAGTAGAATGTTTAAGTTTTCTGAAACATTCACTGACAGCTGAATCCTGAACTGCTGCAGGATCAGTGTCACTAACTTATTATCGGCTGTTCTGAAGTTTGAAGCAGCCTGATAATAAAAAAATTTTATTAATTTATCAAGCAGTAATAGTGAGATTAATTCACAATGACTGCCTGATATAATTAAATAAATAAAATTTGTCAGTATAAAAAAAGTGAAAAGTGTAAATAAATTTAAAAAAATAGTGAAAAGTGTAAAAAAATTAAAAATAAGGGACAAATAAATGAATGTATGTATTGCATTTTTTTTTAGCTGTGCTGGTTTTGTTAAAAAAAAATACTACAAATCAAAACTGGGAAAAAAAGGTTTTTTTTACGTTTTTTCCTCTTTTTTTAATTTGTATTTGTCCTAAGTGAGGCGTTAGACACACATATGTGATATAAATATATAGCCCTATCTGTCCTCTAAAAAACAATATATAATATGTGTGGGTGCACTTTGTAAGAAAGTATATTACTGACGTGGAAGAATCACACAGCAAAAATGTCAAAAGTGTGTCAGTCATTTACGAACAGAAACCAAAAACAAGCTCAGTCATGAAGGGGTTAAAGGCACTGAAATACATATAAAGTGAGATGAACTTTACACTAACAACCTCCTGTTTTTTTTGTTTTTTTTACCTCTACTTTCTTGTTACAGGATATGACTGTGCAATTTATTAGGCATCAGTGTAAGACCCAGTGCTTTCAGTAATGTAACATAACAGGTTTAGACATTCCCATCTTTGCAGTACAATTCTGCATTAGGATGCTTGTGCTGAGGGTGTGGCTGCTACTTTTCTCTGCCAAGAAGTATTTTCCCTGAGGGAAATACTTCCCTTTTATAGCAAGTGTCAGGCACAAATCATCCAATATGGGTACAGAACTATAACGAGATTATTATAGCCCTCCAATTAAAGGAGACATATTGGGAGAGTAAAATGTACTCTTCTCAATACTTAGACTCAGTGTGTGACACAGCAGGTTCTGGCTCTAGAGAGGCAGAGCCAGCTTTCAATCAGGCAGTGGCATGTATCCTGACAATATTTTTGGAATCTTTCCTGGCTGCAGCGTGGCTCTGCACTGCCAGCAGGCAGTAGCCCACTAGATGCTGACTTTGGGTCACAGGAGTACCTTGGCAAATGTACTCCTTTTGACTCAAAAGAGGACTAAAGCCAAAAAAAAGGTATGACTTTAGTTCTCTCTTAATGAACGTGATAACAGTAATCCTTTTTTTTTTTTTTGAGCATGTAATTTTTATTGGGTTTTTCCAAAGCAAGTACATATGAGAAGGCAACATAGTAACCCTGTACACAAACAGTATAGTAAAGGTCAGGTGATTTACACGGTTACAGAGTAATGCAGGCAATAAAGAAAATAAACAACTGTGACATCATCACAAGGTCATTATAGCCGCCATTTAACAAACCATTAACTGAATGGTAGTTCACAAAAAGAGAGAAGAGGACAAACATAGACAAACACATATCGCTTCATCATAGGGTTCGAAAAGGCCCATTTTAGGAGTGCACCAGAAAACAGTGGATCAACATTGAAGATGGGACAAACTGTATGACAAGGGTCGAGGAACGTCGGACATAGGAGCAGAGCAAGGAAAGAGAGCTGGTTCTCCACCATCTTGGTTTGCAAGTAGTCAGTGCAGCAGTGCAGTACCTGGCGGGAGGATATCGCTGGGAATGATGTTATGTTATAATACATCTAAAGCTCCCAAGGAGCCGTCTAGTTTGGCTATATCGTACCATTTGGAGGATCGGAAGGATAGCATAATGGCCTTAAGCTGATCTAAGGATAGTGTTGTGGTGAGGAAAGCTGACCAGGTCTGCAGGGGGGACCGTTTCCGGCAGGCCGATGACCCTCAGATTGTTTCTCCTGGATCTATTCTCTAGATCGTCTACCTTTTCCATCAGGAGATGGATGGAATGATTAGAGTTTTCGAGTGACCGCTGTGTGCCATGTATCGAGTCCTCTAGGTCACACGTTGCTCTGCCGTCTGCAAGCGGTGGCCATGGGACTCTATTGTTTGCTGCAAAGGGCCCAGCTGCTGCTGTATCGCTTCCGTCACTATGGCCTTCATATCAGCCTTGAGATAGGCAGCAACAGCTGCCGCTATGTTCTGGTGTTCCGCCTGCAGAGACGCAATGGGAGAGGGCTCACCTTCAGCAGCGTCGTCAGGGGATGTCAGCATGTCGTCTGTCTCCGCCGTCTCCGCCATCTTGGATGCCTCGGAGGTGCCGCTGGAAGAAGGTAGGATGGCCCTTCTCGTCGGGTTCGGACGAGAAACGAACCTGTCCATGTATGTGGATGACTATGTGTGATTCCGGTGGTTGCAGAGCGATGTGAGAGAGCCGAACGGTGCACTCGATAACTGTACAGGACGGAGCGATGTTGCACACGACTAGCACATTGGGCGCCGGAACCGGAAGTAGTAATCCTTTTTTAAAAATCTAAGATCTCATTAGAAAAGGGATTACTTTTTCCCTGGCAGGCACTGATGACATAGCCTTCTCAGGAGGCAACTGTGAGGTACTGTGTGTGTGAAAAGAGCCCAAACTGTTTCCAAAACTTTTATAGTTTAGGTCCTGGAATAATGTATCTCCTTTAATATCCTTAAATGTTCTTGTACTTTATATCAACAAAAGATGACCTGCTGTCTCTAAGACATGCTTATAAAGCATATTGTCATTATAATGAACTCTGTGACTTCTATTTTGGTGTGACTTCTATTTTGGTGTATCAGCTGCTTTCAGATACGTGAACAGATTCTGACTTTAATAGTCCGTGGAGCCAGGCAGATTTGCAGACAGAATTTTAATGATATCCTGTGAAGTGGCCCCAATGGAATAGCACTCTTGCCAGCACTGGACAAGATTTTCCTAAGTTAGAAGCAGCTGCAGCTGTGCATATCTCCTATGTGTCCAAGTGATGTTCAAACACGTCACTAAGCACTTAAACACAGGCTGCATTGGAGCTACAAGTTTTTCTTGATAATTGTTGAAAGTGAAACAAATAGGTAGATTTCTCTGAGAAAACATTCTCCATCCTCTGTATAGTCAACATAGTACGCCTTTAAGACATCTGGGAGTCTTTAACAAGAATTCCTCAGGGAACTGTTTGATGCTGTTACTAGAATAAAATAATCTACATTGCAATAATAGCAGGCAGTGGGGAAAGTCAGCAACCAACAATTATAGCTACAAATTTATATGTACCATTTATTCTTTTGGCTGTCTCTGCCTGTGTCATACAGGCTATTGAATGCCATTTTCTTTCACAGGTGCTCAGCACAATAGCTGCCCACTTTCTGCCCCCTTTTCATAGATAATGAGGCTCCACTATTTGTTTTACAACACACACCACATATCTGATTCCTGTTTCATCCAGATAAATTGAGCCATCTACCCATGTCTTAAGAACAAAACTGTATATTGTAACTTATTGGTTGCATTAGTTTGTAGACATGTGCGATTTGTTTTCGGAAATATTCGTTATTTTCGATATATCTGAATCTCCGTATGACAGAAATGACGAATGCAAACAAGTCCGAATTTCCGATAAATATGGTATGTACAAATTTTTGTTCCGAATGACTTTTCATTGAGGCAACGTCACATTAGACAAAAATGGGGGGAAAATACTTTTTTTTTTTTAAATTTACAGTTTGCAGAAGAAGAAGAAAAAATAACCTGTGAGGTT